TTTTTTTTTTTTTTTTTTTTTTTTTTTTTTTTTTTTTTTTTTTTTTTTTTTTTTTTTTTTTTTTTTCTCTCTCTTAAAAAGTTGATTATTAAATTTATTAATACAACATTATGGCCCCCTTTCGAAAAATTGTAATGTGAAAAAATATGAATGAACCATTTTAAAAAGTATATAGGAATGAAAATGAAAATAATATTCACACATTATTATTATTATTATTATTATTATTGTTTTATTTTTTTATTGAACAGGATACGGATGTAATGTGGGTGAGGAACCCATTTTCAAAGCTAAGCAAAGACGAAACAGAGGATCTTCAAATCAGCACAGATCACTTCAATGGAAATCCCTGGTCCGCATCAAATCCGATCAACACCGGCTTTTATTTCATTCGATCCAACAACAGAACCATAGCGCTCTTCCATAAATGGTACTCTATGAGGAACGACACCTCCGGCCAGAAGGAGCAGGACGTTCTCGTTAATCTCATCCGCGCCGGTGTGATTCCGCAACTCAATCTCAAGGTTAGGTTTCTAAACACTCTCTTTTTCAGTGGATTTTGCCAGAGGAGCAATGATTTCAAACAAGTTTCCACCGTCCATGCCAATTGCTGTCGAACGATCGTCGCTAAGATCGGCGATCTTCGAGCCACTCTTGGCGACTGGAAACGGTTTAGGACGTCCACAAACGCGTCGGAGATCTTCTGGTGGTCGGATCATGTCAGATGTAAGCGATCTTGGAAACATTGACGGATTAAAGTGAATCGCCATGGCGTAGGCGGCAGCGGGGAATTGAATCGGTGAATTTTTGGGCATTTCTAGAACAGAGCCAAAAGGGGAAGGGATTGAATTTGTAAGATGATAGAGGTGCATAACTATTTAATAAATTAAATCTCTCTTTCTATTTGTTAAAAAATTATAAAAAAATTATTTAAAAAAAAAATACATGCCATTTATAATTTAAAGTAATTTATTCTATCATATACAAAAATTTTGAAATATAACCGGCGTGATTATTTCTTCGATTTGATTATTAAACTAATTATTTATCATTAAAAATTTGTATAATTTTATTAAAATCATTTATTTAAAGATAATTATTAAATAAATAAAATTTTTATTAATTAAAATAATTTTAATAATTTTCCTTAATAAGAATAAAATAATTTATATAATTTTATTAAAATCATTTAGTTAAAGATAATTATTAAATAATTATCTCTAAACTGTCTTAAGAATATAATTTATTTATATAAAAAAAATTAGATTAAATTAATAAAAATATTTATCTAAAAAATGTTTTTAAAAAATACTAGAAAGTATTTTATTTTAAAAATATTTCAAAAATACTTTAAACTTTTAAAAGTTTAATTTACACGGTTCAATTTAATATTATATATATATATATATATTTATAAAATTATTTCTATCGATATATAGATAAAATTGTATATCTATACTTTATAGATGGTCTACAAAACGTTTTAATGCTATTATGAATATTTTTTAATTGTTTAAAAAAGTTTAAAGATGCTTTTTAAGATTAAAAAAAAATAGAAAGATATTCATATAATTTTTAAACGGCCTTAAATGGGTTTTCTCTAAATTATTTTGTTTTAACGGTTTCTATCGGTAACTAACCATAATAATTTTTTTAACATTTTTGAAAATTTAGTAATAATTATACAGATTTTTTTAAAAAAAAGTTTTAGCTGTATTTTTGAGATAATAAGGAAGGTTTAAAAAACAGTATTTATATTGATTTTAGCTCATTTTTATTTTTAACATTAAAAGATCGATTCCTTCACATGACAGCTTATTGGCATATATTAGACAACCAAAGGAGGGTTAAACAATTAAATATTTAAAGGCTTTGACCAATTGGATTTAGATCACGGCGGCTTCATCGTCATCTTCGTTTATCTTCGTTTATCTTCGTTTATCTTCGTGAAGCCTCTCTTCCTCCCTCTCTCTCCCTCTTTTCTTGAAGCAGGCCCGGCACCCCATTGTTCACCGCCACGAGCAGCGACGACGAGCCCCCACGGTGCGTGTTCGGTCAATCGGTGCGTCTCCTTCAGGCCGCAGCCCACGAGTTTGCTGTTGTAAAAGCCCGCCTAACACCGCGCGACGCCGAGGTGGTCAAACTGCGGCCGGTGTCAGATCGGAGTCGAAGTGGTTGGTTCCTCGAACTAGTATTCTTGGAATTCGAGTATATTTTTGTTAGGATTAGGCTTTCTCGCTTTCTTATTTGTGTGTGTGTTGATCAATGCGGAGTTGAAACTCCTCGATTTCTTATTGTGTTGTTGTGCTTTCCTTTTACTTGGATTTTAATTCTTATTTGATATTTAATAACTGGATGCATTTGGAAGATTGGCAGATACGCTGGTTGAGTGAACTAAATGACTCTGATTGGGATTTATTAGTTGTTCTTCCGATTGCATGGCAATATGTTGTGTTACTTTAACTTTCATAATCGATAAGTAAATCAAGTGTCTTCCGACGCTCATCTCTGAGTTGTTGAAATGCATTTTCACTTGACGAGATTGAATGACGAACAGGTCTCTCAGTAATGTTGTTTCTGTCTTCAGGCATCATCAATGGGAAGTAGTAATGAAGACAAACTTCGATTTTGTATTGATAGAGGTGGCACATTCACTGATGTCTACGCTGAAATTCCTGGTCTTCCAGATGGTAAAGTTATAAAACTTTTATCGGTTGATCCATCGAATTATGATGATGCTCCAGTTGAAGGAATTCGGAGGATTCTTGAAGAATATGGTGGGAAGAAAATTCCAAGGACGTCAAAGATCCCCACTCAAAACATTGAGTGGATACGGATGGGAACAACTGTGGCAACTAATGCACTTCTAGAGAGAAGGGGAGAAAGGATTGCTCTTTGTGTTACTAAAGGTTTTAGAGATTTGCTTCAAATTGGCAACCAGGCCCGCCCAAACATATTTGACCTAACTGTCTCAAAACCATCAAATCTTTATGAGGATGTCATAGAAGTAGATGAGCGAGTCGAACTTGTTCATGGCAAGGGGGATGATAATCAAGATTCTTCTACTTCATATGTGAAAGGAGTTTCTGGTGAGCTTATTCACATTGTGAAGACTCTCAATGAAGAAGCTTTGAAGCCATTACTGAAGGATCTCCTGCAAAGGGGCATCAGCTGTTTGGCAGTTGTCTTAATGCATTCATACACTTACCCACAACATGAATTGGCTCTGGAGAAATTAGCTCGGAGTATGGGCTTTAAACATGTTTCTTTGTCCTCAGCTTTGACCCCTATGGTTCGAGCTGTTCCGCGTGGCCTTACAGCCAGTGTGGATGCATACTTGACTCCAGTCATCAAAGAGTACTTATCTGGATTCATGTCCAAATTTGATGAGAGCAGTGGGAAGGTGAATGTGCTATTTATGCAATCAGATGGAGGACTTGCACCAGAAAATAGGTTTTCAGGCCACAAGGCAGTTTTATCTGGTCCTGCTGGTGGAGTTGTTGGTTACTCGCAAACACTTTTTGATCTTGAGACCAGGAAGCCTCTCATTGGGTTTGACATGGGTGGTACATCAACTGATGTCAGCCGATATGCTGGAAGTTATGAACAGGTCCTTGAAACCCAGATTGCTGGTGCAATAATTCAAGCTCCTCAACTCGACATCAACACTGTGGCAGCTGGTGGTGGCTCAAAATTGAAATTTCAATTTGGAGCTTTCCGGGTTGGACCAGAATCAGTAGGTGCACACCCTGGTCCGGTTTGTTACAGAAAAGGAGGTGAGCTGGCTGTTACTGATGCAAATCTGGTTTTAGGTTTTGTTATCCCTGATTTTTTCCCATCCATATTTGGTCCCAACGAGGATCAGCCTCTAGATATCGAAGCCACTAGAGGAGAGTTTGAGAAGCTTGCAACTGAAATTAACTCTTACAGAAAAATTCAGGATCCATCCTCAAAGCCTATGACAATAGAGGAGATTGCTCTTGGTTTTGTAAATGTTGCAAATGAAACTATGTGCCGCCCAATCCGACAATTGACTGAGATGAAGGGCCATGAGACAAAAAACCATGCTCTTGCTTGCTTTGGTGGTGCTGGACCTCAACATGCATGTGCCATTGCCAGGCTATTAGGTATGAAAGAGATATTTATTCATAGATTTTGTGGGATCTTAAGTGCTTATGGTATGGGACTGGCGGATGTTGTTGAAGAAGAGCAGGAGCCATACTCGGCCGTGTATTGTTCGGAGTCTATCCAGGAAGTCACTCGAAGAGAGGCAAGTTTACTTAAGCAAGTAAAGCAAAAGCTGCAGGGACAAGGATTCAGCGAGGGAAGCATTAAAACTGAAACATATTTGAATCTGAGATATGAAGGTACAGACACTGCCATCATGGTAAGGAGCCAAAAAGTGGATGATGGAGTAGGATTCGACTTTGCAGCTGTGTTTGAGAAGCTTTTCCAGCAAGAGTATGGATTTAAATTGCAGAATAAGAATATTCTCATATGTGATATAAGAGTTCGTGGTATAGGAGTCACAAATGTACTGAAGCCACGAGCTTTTGAAGGACTTGCAGGTGACCCTAAAATTGAAGGCCACTACAGGGTCTACTTTGGAAATGGATGGCAGGATACGCCTTTGTTCAAGCTTGACAATCTTGGATTTGGTCATGTCATCTCAGGGCCTGCTATCATTATGAATGGAAATAGTACCGTGATCGTCGAGCCTAGCTGCAAAGCTACTATAACCAAATTTGGAAACATCAAAATTGAAATAGATTCCGCCTTTTGCACGGAAAAAGTATCAGAAAAGGTTGCAGATGTCGTCCAACTATCGATCTTCAACCACCGGTTTATGGGTATAGCTGAACAGATGGGAAGGACACTACAGAGAACTTCTATATCAACAAACATCAAGGAACGTCTGGATTTCTCTTGTGCCCTCTTTGGTCCTGATGGAGGATTAGTTGCCAATGCTCCCCATGTACCTGTCCACCTAGGAGCAATGTCCAGTACCGTTCGGTGGCAAATCGAGTACTGGGGCGACAATTTGAACGAGGGAGATGTATTGGTCACCAATCACCCATGTGCTGGAGGTAGCCATCTTCCTGATATAACAGTCATCACGCCCGTGTTTGATAATGGAAAATTGATTTTTTTCGTCGCAAGTAGAGGGCACCATGCCGAGATTGGGGGCATAACTCCTGGAAGCATGCCACCATTTTCAAAATCCATCTGGGAAGAAGGAGCTGCAATAAAAGCATTCAAGCTTGTCGAAAAGGGAATTTTTCAAGAAGAAGGCATTATCAAGCTCCTGCAGTTCCCTAATTCTGATGAAGGTGTCATCCCAGGAACTCGTAGACTCCATGATAATTTATCTGATCTTCATGCACAAGTTGCTGCAAATCACAGAGGGATTTCACTAATCAAAGAGCTTATTGCACAATATGGTTTAAATACTGTTCAGGCTTATATGACATACGTACAGCTTAATGCAGAAGGGGCAGTAAGAGAAATGCTGAAATCTGTGGCCTCCAGAGTTTCATCTAATTCAACTGGATCTGCGGAGGGAAGCTCCATTACAATCGAAGAAGAGGATTACATGGATGATGGTTCTGTAATTCACTTGAAACTCACGATTGATCCTCGTAAAGGTGAAGCCAATTTCGATTTTAGTGGGACGAGTCCCGAAGTATATGGCAATTGGAATGCCCCGGAAGCAGTAACAGCAGCAGCGGTTATATACTGCCTTCGCTGCATGGTCGATGTCGATATTCCTCTCAACCAGGGCTGCTTGGCTCCGGTCAAGATATACATTCCACCAGGCTCGTTCCTTTCCCCAAGCGAGAAGGCTGCCATTGTAGGAGGAAATGTTCTTACTTCTCAGCGGATAACCGATGTCATACTCACAGCATTTCAGGCATGTGCCTGTTCCCAAGGTTGTATGAACAATCTTACTTTTGGTGACTCCACATTTGGATACTACGAAACAATTGGCGGGGGAAGTGGAGCTGGTCCTTCTTGGCATGGAACTAGTGGAGTTCAATGCCATATGACTAATACTCGAATGACCGATCCCGAGATATTCGAGCAGCGATATCCTGTTCTTTTACATACATTTGCACTCAGAGAGAACAGTGGAGGAAGTGGAGTCTACAAAGGGGGTGACGGGCTCGTTAGGGAGATCGAGTTCAAGCAACCAGTGGTGGTGAGTATTCTTTCGGAGAGACGTGTCCATGCGCCGAGAGGTTTGAACGGAGGAAAAGACGGTGCTTGTGGGGCTAATTTTCTGGTAAAAAAGGATAAAAGAAGAGTCTATCTCGGTGGCAAGAATACTGTAACTGTGAAAGCTGGGGAGATTCTTCAGATTTTAACCCCTGGTGGTGGAGGATGGGGCTGCCCTTAGTGGTTCTAGGCAGCGGAGCCATATGTTGCTCTCGAGGATATTTGGATGAAAATAAAATTATGAACTCGTGAGGGTTGGTGTGTATGTGAAGACGTATCTCGTGTATTTTTCTCCTTAATAAAGGGAAGTATTGCTCGGGTTCGCATTCTTCATCTCTTCAATAATCTATTATCGCATTTTTTGAAATAAGTTATATATATGAGTAGAAATGGTTTGATTTTAAGCACCTTTTAGAACAACTTTGACCCACATTCTTTATTCAAAACTCCCATATTATTGACCCAAGTGGCTTAAATGACAAAGGACTGTGACCAAACTCATGTTCTATAAGTCTGTTTTCATTCCTTTTAACTGCAAAGGAATAGGCTTTTCCAAAACTGAGACATCTATGTTTTGCCAAACCTCAGATTTTGTTGGAAGCTGGGCTATTTTCTCTACGATTTCCATGTCTTCTGGAAGAACAGATCCGAACACGGTGTGTGCCTTACGCCACTCGTCGTGGTTGGCCAGGCTGATAAAGAATTCCGGGCCGGAATCGACCCAAGCAACTGATCCTCTTCTAATGGTTGGACAGTATTCCTTAGGATTCTCCTCGAATATGATTCCATGAGCTTCAAGAGTTCCTTGGATTAGAGCAAAGGGAGGACCATATGGAGCCTATAAAGCACACAACAAATGAAAAATATACCACATTAAGGCCAAGAGATTACTGAAACCTGATATATAAATCCTTTAGGGCAGTGATAATAAGTCATAGAGCTCGTTGTGCTTACGTTTTCGACATGGTCCCCATTGGAAAACCAGAAGCTTCCGCGACTTTCAGCACGATGAAATTGGCAACCAACACAACCCAATGCTAAGAGCTCAAGAATGAAGTTCACAGAATGAGGAGCGCAGTCTGGAAAAAGCTGGGAGAGAGAGAGAGAGAGAGAGAGTCAAATATCAAATTTATAGTCCTTACTATATTTCCTCTGGTTGATGAATTCTGCATAAAATAAAAGGAAAGTGAAAGAACGAAGAGAGGGAAAGTAAATGTGAAATGAAGTTTGTTAAACTCAAACCTATTATGGTCTATCTATAATTTGTCAGCTTAACCCAAGTAACAGCCAAAAAAAAAAAACAAAGTCCCGATCACAGGTCACTGGATCGCCACACCATTTTAGGTTCCAATTTAAAAACAAGGTCATGATCCCAGGTCACTGAATTGCCACACCATTCTAGGTTCCAATTTAAAAACAAAGTCATGATCCCGGGTACTGAATCGCCACACCATTCTAGATTCCAATTTAAAAACAAAGTCATGATCCCAGGTCACTGAATCGCCCCACCATTCTAGGTTCCAATTTAAAAACAAAGTCATGATCCCAGGTCACTAAATCGCCCCACCATTCTAGGTTCTTAAAAACAAAGTCATGATCCTAGGTCCCTGAATCGTCACACCCTTCTAAATTCCAATTTAAAATCAAAGTCGTGATCCTAGGTCATTGAATCCCACACAATTCTAAGTTCCAATTTATATCCAAGTTCTTACGGTAGTTTTGAAACATTCATGAAAAACCAGAAAATATTGCAACTTCTCAATAAAATAGTTTAAAGACGAAGAAAACAACCAACCTTCATGCGAAAAGACCCGTACTCAGTCTCCACTCGAACAATTCCCTTAACAAGAAGAAAAGAAAGAGAGATCATTTACTAATGGAGGCTCAAAATAGATTACAAACAAAGTCTGGATCAGGCAGAACTTCTTTATTCACATCTCACATTATTAAGTTGAAACTAATGAACTTCCATGAGAACTTGATCACATGAACAAACACTTACTCCTTAATCCATGGAGTCTTTGTAGTTTAAAATCACTCCATATAGAACCCAAATGGGGAATTAGGTTCAAACATATGCACCCATTCTTCTCCGGGATAGTGGCGGGCTCACCGGAGAAGAAGAAGACGAGGGGAAGAAAGTTCACAGGCTAATGATAGCGCTAATGGTCCGGGGACCTGTTAGAACTAGTTTTAAAGGTCACAGACTAAATTTTTGGTTTTTGAAACTTCCGAGACTAGGGTAAGCCAAGGGGGGACAATATAAGTGAGTGAGTGTGTGTAAGCCTAGTCGAAGATGACTGTTCTAGGCGGGGCGAGCCACATACCTTCAAATGGTCTTGGTCCTACGGACAGCAGAAACTTATTCTCAAACTCGAGAACTAATTCCTTCTACTTTCCTCACATATTCACATAAAAGATTGAATCCATTCAAACTCCTATCTTACTGACAATCACACAAATTCAATAAAAAAAATAACATCCAATTGGATCACAGAGCCTCAAAAGTCCACAGAAAGAGGCTGAAGTAAAAGAAAAGTACCTGTTTTTTCCCAAACACAAGGCCAGAAGTCCACCCGACTTGACCTCCTGACTCTCTTCTCTCAGGGTTCATTATATCCTTCTGTTTCTTCAACCAGCACTGGCACGCAGGTAATACACTATAATCTTCAAATTAATCAAATTCCGACACAAATTCACTGAACTAAACGAATCAAAGTGCCTTCTAACTCTGATGAATTTTCATCCAATCATCAAATTTACGAGATCCATATCGTATTAAATTTCTCATAAATAGAAACAAATATTAAGAATAGATTTCACAATTCACCCGCTTTCGGAGTCCAGTGTTCTCGTTGGTACATTGTTCGATGTCCACCTCTTTTAAGGCTCAACGTCTTCGCAAGCACACCGTCCGATGTTTGACTCCGATCAAGTAATCAGAATGGCACAACGGATGCGTGGTGGGCCCATAACCCCACTGTCCCGAGATCGAAACTTGTTCAAATACCATTTGTAACAGCTCAAGCCCACAACTAACCGATGTTATTTTGTTTGAGCTTTCTCTTTCGAGTTTCTCCTCAAGGTTCTTAGAAAGCGTCTGCGAGAGAGAGGTTTCCACACCCTTATAAAAAATGTTTTGTTCCCCTCTCTAGAGGTGGGATCTCACAATCTACCCCTTTCGCGAGACCTAGTGACACTCATTTCTCTATGGATGTCACAAATATAAATATTATATTTCCAAGTCCCACTGGAATAATCCAAGAACAGAAATTGGTATTTTGTAATCTCATGAACATGAAACTAAGAATTTTGAATATTCTAGAAAGATGTTGAACCTACTTCGTGTTCTTCCTACCATGAATGGCCTGAGAATTAACTTTCTCACAGAAAACCCTATATTAGAACAGAACAAGAAGGGATAAAAGTGATAGTCCAGAGCCATACCTCACCAAATCTTGATCCGCAAATTTTAGAATCACCACAGAACACCCAAGAATCACACAAACACCGACCTCTTTGATCTTCGCACATGGCTTTACAAGCCAAACAACACTCCCTCGACGAATTGAACTTAAAATTAGAGCCCCATTTCACGGCACCTCCCCAAAGCTCCACATGGTCAGTACCTTGGCAACACTCTTCGTGCTCCCCATTCTTGACCAAATCGGAAGTAGAAGAAACCTCGACGGCGCTCGGCCGAATGGCCCCGATTAGAAAGTGATAGACCATAATGCAGGAGGAAATGCCCATCAGAAAGATGATCGCGAGCGCACAAACGCCACGTTCGGCGTCGCTTTGCCTGCGGCCCATCTGATCAGGTAAAACTGAAGACGGCGACGGCAAGGTTTTGGATGAGGGGATTTGTAAGTATGAACAAGAAATTCTCAATCAATCATAATGAATTTCGCGAATAAGTATGGAAGACGATGACACCGAGGGCCAGCGAAGAGCAATCTTGCCATTCACGAACGAGTTCCTTATTCTCGTATTTTGGCGGCAATGAATTTTAGTTTTATTCCTCATCGGCTAACATTTACATAAAAATTTGAAATTAATGAATTCGCCTTTTTCAATAAAATATTCATAAGTTCCGTACAGATTGCGGTGAAACAACCTTTATGATCGTCTTTATGGTTAATTCCTATTAGACCCATAAATAAAATTCAAATTTAAATCTAGCACCATCAATAAAATATTAAGAATTTCAAATTTGTTAACAATATTAACCCTAAATTAAATATATTAATGAACCAAAATTGTATTTATATTAAGAAAAAACGGAAAAAAGAAATGGCTTTCTTCGTTTTAGGTCATAATTTCACCCCACATTTATAGAATAATATTGAAATAAATAGCATACAAGTAAAAGAACAAAAGGATAATTAAATTAAATGCATATTATTTTCGGCTCGAAAAGCCTTCATTAATTGATTATTGGAGGATCAAGGGACTGCCTAATTCAGTGCTAACAGCACTTGGAAACCCCATCACAAATGAATTTAAATGGTCATTTAAACATACATACATCAACCAAATTGAACGTTTCTCCAGTGCTTTGTGAAAAACCTGTGAACTTTTAAGAACTCAGGAAGCACTGCACCAAATTTTGCCTCTAAAAAAGGGTTCCCATCAAAACAAGTGAAAGATCCACCACCAAAATACAATATTATATATAAGTTACAATATGACATTGAATTAGGTTTGAGTATACAAATACAAGTAAAGATAAAACAGGACTTTATAGCTATCAATATGTTCGGTCGGTTGGTCTTGAACCAACAAAAGCAACTCCGACTGGTACCTTACTACACTAATCACAAATCATAACCTGCAAGCAAAACTTCGCAACAAATATAAAGTACAAAGTACAAACAAGACAACCACGCATTTTTTAGCACAGATACTAGAATCAGAAAAAATCAGAATCAAATCAAATGCCACAAAAAACAGGTTCAAAAGGATGAAGGTAAAAGGAAAAGACAGTACATCCTAGTTCCCACAAAACAAACCCATTTCGCTACTATATCTAAAGAAAGTTGAAAACACAGCAAAAGTCAATGGCATGGCATTCCTATACCCTGCGAACATAGAGTCTACTATTGTGTGTGCCATTCATAAATCTTTTGTCCAATTTAATACCACTAAAGAAAAAAGAAAATCAGACTCTCATCATCACCATATGATGATTCCATCTTCAATTAAATTTGGCACCCACACTCCAAAATATCCC